TGCTACTTGTAGGGAGTCAGATAGATGACCTGGGAGAAACCATCCAGAAGCTGTTTACCCAGCAGGTGCACACGCTTGCACTGAGCCCAGAGAGGAGGAAAAGTATTAGGAAGAGGCTCGCCCTGACTCCCCGGGGTGTGAGATGGAGGGGAGGGAGAAAACAGGCAGACTTGCAAGATTCCGTTACTGGAGCCTGTCCCAATAAAGTGCAGTTCTGTCTTCCTGTGGCATCGGCTTCCTGATCTGGTCTACCTCTAGGGCTGACCCCTCCGCATCCTGATATTTTAAGGGCCTGTTGAATCACAGAGTGGAAGTGAAACGGGAGTGGCCGCTGACCTCAGGACCACTTGGCCCTGTCTCAAATACGAGCTGAGGTGACTCTGTTCTCCTGCAGGGAAGCTGTCCAGCTCCTCAAGGGGAGATCGCTGTACCCGGAAGAAGAGGATCGGGAGAGCACGTGCGCCCCCCTCTCCTGTGGCTGGGAGATCACGGACACCCTGTGTGTTGCCCCCGTCTTCACTCCAGCAAGCATCATGTAAGCCGTGCCAGTCCTTCATCACGGGGGCAGACCTCCTCCCCGCAGAGCCCTGCCGCGCTCTCTCTCGCCTTTCCTCTCGCTCTCTTTCAATGGCTGGCCTGCCTCTTGCACATTCTGCCCTGAAGTAGGACCTGGTTTCTTCTCCTTCTTCTTCCTCTTCTTCTTTCCAAGCAGTGTGGTTTTTAAGTATGCAACATAAATCCTGTTCCTCCTAGCCTGGTCTTGGGTATTCTTGGGGGCATATTAGGAACGAAGCCAGCAGAGGGGTTTGAGGCCGGGACCCCCACCCCATTGCTGGAAGCGTGGCCAGAGCAGCCTATCATCCTGCTTGCTTCCAGGTCAGACAGTTCAGCGGCTGGCTGCGGCTGCAAATCAGCGCTTCGTTCCACGGGATGGAGAGTGGCCTCCAGAACAGTTACCTTTGATGGGCCGAGGCAGCCGAAGCTTTTTAGACAAGGCAGAATCTGTGCAGGTTCAAGGAGTCCTGAAAGGCTCCGTGCGGCCCCCGCCCCACAAAAGCCTTCACCAAAATGAAGTTTCTAACGTGCTGGAAGAGCAACGTTATTCGTCACGTGACAGAGAGTAATCCTATTCACCAAAGCGAATCTCATTTAAGTTCAACTGAGCCCCGATTACTTTTCGATCCTGATCTCCACCCCCATCTCTGGCTGTTCGGAGCGCCCCGCCGGCCGCCCTGCAGGGAGATGCGCTGCTGCTCACAGAAGATGCGCCACCCTCCGCTAAGCGTTTAACGGAGGAATCGGATCGCCCACTGCGCTTTGTCAGTATTTCCCCCTCTTGCCTTTGGACCCCCGAGCAACTCTGCGCGGCCGCGGCCGCAGGACTCATGAACCTGCTTTTCCCTCGGCCGGAGGTTGCAGGAAGGGGGGCGCGGGAAGCAGGCGCAGGCCCTGATCCAGGGTAGCTGCGTTGGCCCCGGGCAGGCCGGGCGGAAGAAGCCAGCCTCCTCCGTGCCCCGAGGGCTCTGGCGCGTCGGGGCGGCCACCGGGGCCCCGGT